CCTCTGACCTTGAGCTAGAGCCTCACAGAGATGTCTACATTTCTAAGATAAGTTACCAATTTGGCTCCATGGTAACAGCTGGCAGGGGAGGAAAGAAAGGGGAGAAGAAGCTCTCCCCTTCTCAGGTGTTGTCCTTGAAGAGTTAACCTGCCCAGAACAATGAAAGAAAAAGCTACTTTTATGTGAACCTCTGCAGATTGTGAACTTGTGAGCCCTCCCTTATATGCTGGGTATAAAGTTCTGAAACTACCTGAACTCAGGGTTCAGGGGATTCATTGATTATAGTGAAAGCTGTGCCCTCTGAACCTGGCTGCGGCCAAATAAAACTGTTTCCTGCTATCTTTGGTGCCCAGCTTTGTCTGTCCCCTACAACCATTTTACAGATGGGGAAGTTGAGATGCCAAGAGGTTCAATAAATGAAAGCCTCACCTCCAATTCAGGTCTCTATAGCTCAAAATCCACCCTGACCCACTGCATAACCAGACCTACTCTGAGCACGGGCTCAGGAGTCAAGCTAAGGAGCTGAGACTTGATCCTGTGTACAAGGGGAAAGGACACAGAGAAATATATTTCTAGGACATTTGGGTATAGACGTGAAGAATGAATGATTAGATCAAAGAGACAAGCTGTGGAGACTTTGTTAAGAGGCAGCTTCAGAAATTTGGGTCTGTAATGATGATGATAATGTGCTCCAGGAACTGGTGGGGGAAATGAGGCTGGATCCCTGAGGATGCTTTTGGCTGCAAGTAACAGAGAACCCCAGCCACAGGAGTGAAAGTAGACTAGGAGGCTGGCTCTAGGATTTTGGTTCCATCAGTTACCCAGGAGGTCATGAAAGGAGTCGAGTTCCTTTTGCTCTGCCATCCCGAAGGCAGCTTCTTCTTTTGGTCCTAAGATGCCTGCTGGTAGCAATCAGGGCTACATATTTTTTTTGCTAGAACTTAACAGAAATGCTAAAATCTTCTCTTTAATGGTATAAGTCCTCTTTTTCTGTCCAGGTAAGTCATATACTCAACACAGAAGAATCCAGAATGTTTTTTTGGGATGGAATAATCTTCCCTGTAAGAACTGGGTTGAAGGAATGAATGCAGGGTCAAATGCATGGCTTCAGTAGGAAGCAGGAATGGCAAGAAGGGTTGACAGGGAGGTAAACCCCATTGCCTGCTACATAGGATTAGGCAGTTTGAAAACAGCACATAGTGATATATTGAAGAGGAGAGATAACTATATATATAATCATATAACTCCAGAGTAAGTAAGATATTATTCCATTGGCCAAAATTGAGAAGATAAAGAGAGTTTGGTTTCAGAAGTTCACTTTTGGATACTTTAATTTTGATGTAATGAGGGTACAGCCGTATTGATTTGTACCCTTTGAAGATATGGTTCTTTGAACTTGGCTCAAGGTTGTGTAGGATGGAGCCCAGGAGAGAGGCTCATGGAGATGGTGATATGGCTTCTGGTTACTGGTGCTGACATCAGGGACTTGTKGTGGAACCAGGTGGAAGCGGCTGAGAAGGCATAGCTGGAGCAAGGCAGGACTCAGCAGGGCTGCTTCTAGGATGGGGTCCCTGAATGACAGGCATCCCTGCCTATGTGCACAGTGGCAGGGATAAGACACTAGAAGCAACCTAAATGTGCATCTCTAAAGAGCTGGTTAAGTTAACTATTCTGCCTCTGGTGTGTGGAATACAGTGTGAAAGAGCTATCTTGGTTGCAACAGAAAAATCTATCATTAAGTAGAAAAGCAAGATGCAGAGGTTTGTGTTAAAAGAGATCATATGATATCCAAATGTGTACTTGCATATCCACTGTTTCTGGAAGGCATCAGAAGAAACTTTTCATAGTTCCTCTGGGTGGGATTCTGGGAGCCTGGGAATCTTTTCTTCTTACCTTGTCAGCTGATGGAGTTTCTTGCACCGTGTGCATTTATTACCTATGACAAAAGTTAGATCATAAAAATAAATACATAAGCAATAGGCTTTTAAGTGTCAAAGATATTAGTGATCTGGAGGACTGACAGGAAGCCACTGAGTGGTGCTGGAGAGTCTGGAGTCAGCTGCAGTAAGGCACACATCATGGGAAGAGGTCACAGGGGAAGCTGAGGCACTGAACTGCCCAGAAAAACACAGAGAATAGGGGGGGTAACTGGTTGGGTTCATTGAGCACCACTGTAAAAGCAGGGATGCTGCTGAAGGCCCCCAGTTAACTCTACACAGGCTCCACCTTTTTTTTTTTTTTTTTTTTTTGTACCAGGTATTGAACCCAAGGTTGCTTAACCATTGAGCCACATCTTCAGCCCATTTTTATGTATTATTTTGAGACAGGGTCTGATGCTGGCTTTGAACTTGCTGTCCTCCTACCTCAGCCTCCCGAGCTGCTGGGATTTCAGGAGTGTGCCACCACACCCAGGCCACTTTTATTTTGGAATGGGTCCCTTTGTTTTAGCCACTGGAGCTGGAAAGACACCTAAACAGATCTGTGAAATCACTCCCAGAGCTTTAGGCTACATGTTGGATCTGATGTAGAAACAACTAACTTTAAGTAATTCTTGGCATTCTAGACCCAGATGCTGAGAGACAGGGCTGTAGGGCAAGAAGAAGGAGCCCAAGAAGTCATTTTTCAAACTGGACATGGTAGCACATGCCTGTAATCTCAGTGACTCGGGAGGCTGAGGCAGGAGGATTGCAAGTTTGAGGTCAGCCTCAGCAATTTAGCAAGGCCCTAAGCAACTCAGTGAGACCCTGCCTCAAAATAAAAAGTAAAAAAAAAAAAAAAAAAGGTCATTTTTCTGGTACTGAGCCTCCTAACCCAACCAAGAGTTGGAGGAAGGCTGATCTTTGCCCGCCAGCAGCTGGTGTAGCTGTGAGGCTGAGGGAGATAAACAGAGAGCACAATGGCTCAGCTGCTCAGAGAGCAGAGATCAGGAGGACTCCCACTTGCAAACCTATTATGGCAGTCCATGCAAATAGGAAGAGTGTCTTAGAGCACTCAGGCTGCTGTGACAAAGTGTCATGAACTGCATGGCTTATAAAGACAGAAAATGATTTTTTAATGTTTTGGAGGCTGGGAAGTATAAGATCAAGATGTTGGCAGATTTGGAACATGATGAGGACCTGGTTCACAGATGGCAGCTTCTCACGGTGGAAGAGGCTCGCTAGCTCTCCGAAGTCTCTTCTGAGGGCACTAGTCCCATCAAGAGAGTTCCACCTTTGTGACCTCCTGAGGCCTCATCTCTTACTACCTTTACCCAGGGGGTGAGGATTTCAACATAGGAACATTGGGAGGATACAAACATTCAGAGCATAGCAGAGACTACTTACTAAAATAACAATAAATACAATAACAAGAATCCTAAACTTTTTTGGAGATAACTGCCTCATTGTTTTCATGTCCTTCAGTATCTTGTTAGTCACCTCATGCAAAAAGATTTATGATTAATGAAACTACACACTGCAGCTCCCTCTCAGAAAGTCTCCAAGTACCTAAGATTCTTAAAGGCACTGAAAAGTCCTACATTAAGCTAACTTAGATATCTAACTTTATTCAAGAAGCTTCTCCCAAATGCATGTGGTCACAGAAGTCACTGTCATTTTAATGTAATAACTGACAGTGATATCCAGACCACGCTTCAGGAAGAGTTTTAGTTTAATCTTTTTATTTAAGGATGAGGTACCTTAAGTAAAGGGAAATAACTTTACAAGTCTCCATGGTTACTTGGTAACACAATGGATGTAAGAACCTACATCTCCTATCTTGTGCCTAGGTGGATTTTCTGCCAACCTACATGGCTGCTGTCCCCTTATTGGCGTGGACATATCAGCAGTGTGGACCTGCTGTTATGTCAGAATCCAGGCAATGATAGGGCAAGAATCGGTGGCTCGGGGAACTTGCATGCAAGAGGCTGCACTGAAATTTAACTTTAAGTAATTCTTGGCATTCTAGACCCAGAAGCTGAGAGACAGGGCTGTAGGGCAAGAAGAAGATTTAATTCATGTTGGAAAAAACAAACCAAGATTTAATTCATGTTGAACCAGGCCCTGAAAGCCTGGATATCCATATCCAAATGGGTGCTAAGTGCTGGCTCCTGGCCAAGACAGTCCTTCTGCAAGCAGAAAGTCACTGACTTGCTGGGCATTTCCTGGATGCAGGGAGAGTTTCCATTACTCTCACAAGGAAATGTGGTGCTAGCTCATTGTTACTCAAACTGAGACCTATGGAACCCTATGCTCGAGAGCTGTTCAATCAACACTGAGCAAGGAAAACATTCTCTGGTCATTCTAGCTTAGGACACAGAATTCAAGAAAGATTCCTTGAGGTTTTCCAGAATCTTTAACATGCTCACATTGCTATGAGCCACCAGGGTAAGGAAGTGATGTGTAGAATTCCCTGACTATATGACTAGGGAATTCCTTTTGCAAGAAGTTTAATTTGTTTTACACATAAGTTTGAGGAATTCAGATCTAGATCAATGAGGTTCATTGATTTTTGCATTCCTTCCCACCTCATCCCAAACATTCCTGCCCTTTCTGTGTTGAAAAGAAATTGCTGAACACAACCAGAAAATGTCTCCCCTGACATTTAAAAAAAAAAATAAAAGTGCAAGGATGTGGCTCAATGGTTAATGCCCCCCCGTTTCAATCCCCAGGAACCTCCTCCCCGCCAAAAAATTAAGCCTGGCACAGTGGTATATGCCTGTAGTCCCAGCTACTCAAGGATTGTAAGGCCATCCTGGGTAATGTAGTGAGACCCTGTTTCAAAATAAAAAATAAAAGGATAAAAAAGGGCTGGGGACACACCTGCTTAATGGTACACCATAATCAGTAGCACACATACAAAAATTTAATTGATGCATAACATTTGTATGTATTTATGGGGAACAGTATGATAATTCCATTTGTGTATATGATGTGTAATAATGAAATCAGGGTAATTCGCATTTCCATCTTCTCAAATATTCATCATTTCTGAATGTTGACATTTGTTCTTTCATATTTCAGAGTAAGGAGATTGGCCTGCAGATGCATGAGGAGCTCCTGAAGGTGACCAATGAGCTCTACACAGTAAGTTCTGCCCAGGCTCACTGCTGTTGGGGATTGGGTCGCTTGTTTTCAGTACCCAGAGTTGGAGGGAGGCAAAACAGAGGTCTGGGATGACTATGGGCATTTTTGATGTATCTTGTGCTGCAGTCACAGTGGACATCATGTCAGGCTATAATGATTCACAACCCCAGCTTCTGATTCTTTGTATCTGTGGTAGGGCCCAGGCATGTTAGTTGTTAAAATTCACATGAGATTCAAATGACCTTCCAGATATGGGATGTTATATTATGAAAGCAATGGACACAGAGCTGAGTTTGGGTAGCCTGTGTGTGAAGGCACTGAGAGCAGAGATGTGGACTCTAGAGCCACTGGGGCTATTCCTTACTTTGGGACTTGAAGCAGGCATGCAGTTCAGGTCTTTGCATCCTCACCTGCACGATGGAGCCCCATTCTGAGTTTGATGTGAGGTGTTGGGCATGTGGGCCTGTCTTGCTGTTTCCAGGGGATAATTTTACAAGATCATTTTGGCCCAAGGCTAGCCTTATTACGTGCTAGAAGTCAAAGTCCAGCTGCACTTGAGAAGGGTGTTAGAATCGAAGATGGCAAGTGAGTTGGGAGTACAGACATCCTGGGTTATGGTGCAGGTGCTCACAGGCTGTGCTTTGAGCAGGCTTTGACTTCTTTGGAGAGGAATGTGGGGAGTCCCATGCATAGTCTTGGGGAGCAGGTTAAATACCAGACCTCTCACCTTCCTATAGCACTCAGAGTAGAACTATTGTTGTAAATACATAGAGGTTCCTTATAAAGCTTTTCATTAAAAGTCTATGTGAGTGGGAAGAGGATTCTGCATCTAAAATGACATTTGAAAATTCCCAAGATGAGGGAAAAGAACTGTGTGCTGTTTGAAGCCCCTTCTCTTTGGTACTGCTTCTGTATTGACATCCTATACAGCCAGCAGGTGGCAGACTCCTCAGGGACTCTGCACCTTTGTCCAGTTCCTGGACCTCAGGTGGAAGACCTGGATCTTGGGCAAGGCATTTGCTTTTCTGGGCCTCAGCTTCCCAATCAGAAAAATGGGTGTAAGTGTTCCTAAGTAAATGTTGAAGCTTGTAATTCTATGAATCCAAGTTAAGGAGTAAAAGTTGAGTCCTGGACAGTTTTCAGTTGGATCATTCTTAGGGTAAAGGAAGAATTGCTGCTTTACAATGTGAAGTATTTTGCATCAGCTGGTCATTGAGGGGCAGAGTAGCCCACTGACTTAAAGCACAGACTCTGAAGCCAAAATCTGGGTTCAAAGCCAATTGTAAAAAAGAAATAATAGTAAAGCTGTCCCTTTGTATCAATAGGGATTTGGATCCAGGACCTCCTGTGGATTCCAAAATCTGTGTATGCTCAAGTCCCTTAGGTTAAAGGGCACAGTATTATGCATTCTCCTTTGCACTTAAAACCATCCCTAAGTTACTTATAATACCTAACTCAATGTAAATGTATGTAAGTGTTTGTTATATTGTATTGCTTTGGGACAAGAAAAGAAGTATTTGCATGCTCAGCAGAGATGCAGTTTTTTCCCAGATACATTCAACCTGCAGTTGGCTGAATGCTTTGATGTAGAACTAGCAGATGGGTGGGGGAGCTGACTGTACCTACTCACTGCATGTTCTTTTGAGAATTGAAAGGAGGTTGTGTTTGTAAAGTGTGTTTAGAACATAATGAAGCAGTGAATCAGGGGTTAGTAATGTTACTATCACCGTCATCATCATCTCACCCTTGATGAGTTTGGGTGGCTTACCTTCCCCCATAGCATTCCACTACCTGAGCTCCACATCCCAGGGCCCTGGGACCACGGGGGTCCCTGTCCTTCCCTCCACCCTCCAGCTGCACTCCTCTCTGGCACTTTTCATTGCCCCAAATACCTCCACTCTCTGCTTCTTATCACTGCACTTCTTGTCTATAATTGTCTTTTTTGCTCCTTGGCTTGTTTTTGTCAAACTCATTTTTCAAACTCAGATTAAACCCCAACACTTTCTGCAAGGCACCACCATTGGGCTTTGAGTTCTATGGCGGTTTTCCAAAGATCTCTTGGTGTCAACATCTCTCCCATGTTGGAATGCTTGGAGTCAGGTCTTCACTGGATGTGTATCGCTGCACTAAAGGCCCAAAGGCCCACATTGAATAGCTGTGTGGCCTTGGGCTCATCCTTCACCTCCCAGTTTCACCCATGAAAAATGGGGCTGGTCATCGTTCTGCAGCTTGTAGATTGGGCAGTTTCAGACTGTTGTCAGAGATCAAGAGGATGGTGGTATCTCTCTGTGACCCTCATGGTGCTGGTGCCTAATGGGCCCTGAATCTAGCAGATGCTCTGTGCACAGCTGCCTGTGAGCAGGAGATGGGGCAGTGGTTCCCCAGCTGTTTGAGGCCCTCAGGGTGCCAGCAGTACCCCTCAAGATCCTTTATTCTTGACTGCACACTAAGTCTTCAGTACATTTGGCCCTCCATATCTGCAGGTTCTGTATCCCATGGATTCAACCAACTGAGGATAGAAATTTTTTTTTCATTGCATCAATTCTAAACAGATTCTTTTTTTTGTCTCCATTCCCTAAACAATATAGCACAGTAGAACCACTGCTTACGTGCTTACTTAGCACTGTATTAGGTGGTGTAAAAAATCAGTACACCGGAGGATGTGTGTAGGTTTTTGCAAATACTAGGCCATTTTATGTAGGGGACCTGAGCGAGTGTGGATTTTGATGTGGGAGGTGCTTGGAATCACCCTGCACAGATAATGAGGGATGACCCTAGTCAAAGGCATTAAATTCAAGCATTTGGGGCTGCCTGCTCTGGACCCATTGCCACTGTAGGGCACCATGGGGGATCGGGAACATTTCAGAGTTGTTCTTTCTCTCAGGTTCTTGCCCATCCTTGGTGCTCCCTGGGTGCTGACTAAGCAGAGGAAGAGGAATGAATTGTGAATAAATGAGAGGAATTGATTTTGCCTACAAGGAGTGGAGAATCTGGGCAGAGAGAAGGAGTAAAACATGTGAACTCTTGATATAACCCAAGATGGAGCCTAGTACTTGTAGACACGTGGGCTTGCATGGGAGACACCGAGCAGGAACAGTGTGGAGAACAAGGGGTGAAACTTGTTCTCCACAGTGTGCCCAGAGCCCTTCATAGTGCTGACCTCCTTGAAGCCTTCAGTGCTTGTTTCTTGAGTGAAGACATGAGAGGATGTGAGCAGACGTGTGAGAGATTGATTGAGAGAAGGAGTGGGGAAGAGAGGAAAAGAAGGACAGGATTCAGAAAACTGATGGCCCCAGGTGGGCCACAGTAATAAGAGATGAACTTGAGCTTGGTGCCTTTGGAAGGATAGGAATTAACATATTATGTCCCATCTTGCCATTTATGGAACACCTAAAAAACTTAAATTGAGCAACATGGTAACTTTGAAATAAATATTCATTTTTAAAAAATATTTATTTCTTAGTTGTAGTTGCACAATACCTTTATTTTATTTATTTTTATGTGGTGCTGAGGATCAAACCCAGGCCCTTGCACGTGCTAGGCAAATGCTTTACTGCTAAGCCACAACCCCAGCCCCTAAATATTCATTATTTTAGAGTTCCATTCTTCTGAGAAAACTCATGGGTAAATGGTTAGTGAAGATACTAATATTATCAATGACATTATCATTATTATTAATAATAAATTATATAATAAATGGGCTCTATGTTATGATCTTCAAATCTATTTTAATGCAGCTGTGTCACTTTCATTGAAATATTTTTAGAATTGAAAACTTAAGACTTAATGGGTTAAAGAAACAGAGAGGAAGAAAGGAAGAGAACAGGAATTCCAGTAGAGGCTCTCAGTGGAGCCAACTGATTACACACAGATGTGCTTTTGACTTCCTATTGCAATGCTTACCAGCCTGGACAAGTGGGTTAAACCTTTCTTGTCAAAACAGGGATGACAATGACAACTGGCTCTTTAGTGAGTGTGTAGGATAGATTTCACACTGTATTAAGTACTTGTTATGTATTACTGAATGAGCACTCACATTTTGCAGGTAAAGAAACGAGGGCACAGAGAAGTAAATGACTTATTAAAGGCCTTTGTAGCAGTCATCAATTGCTGCATAACAACCACCTCAAAATTTAGGGGCTTAAAATAGCTGCCATTTTGTTTGTTCATGATTCTGTGGGTTTGTAATTTGGGCTGAGCTAATTTCTGGCCAATTAAAAAAAAAGAAGCCAAAGTGAGCAGATCTCATAGGCAAGCACTTTTCAAGGTTCTGCTCAGGCCACATTTGTCAAATCCCTTTGCCAAAGCACATCACATCCAAGCCTGGGGGCAAGGATAGAAAGTGAGCTCCTCCCTCCGAGGCAGTCACTGCACAGTCAYAGGGAGAAGGGCTATATCTGCAGCAATGCCTGGAACTATTGGTTCCCCTTTGTGAACTGTCCACCATGGCCACCCAGTTGCTGTGTGTTCCCCTGCTGCCCCCTCATCATGCTTAATTGCTAAGGGCTTCTAGTTACCGTTTTGGTTCCACAAGTCTTTTTAGAGCCCTTTATTCCCCAGCCCAGCTTCATGACCATAGTAACAGGAATTGATGACGTAGAGAAAGATCCAGTAAACCCCATTCTTTTCTTTTTTTAATGTTTTATAAAGGAGGAGGGGGTCTGTGAGGGGAACTTCTGGGCATAATGGTGATGGAGATGTGTGCTGATGGCCATCTATCTCCTTCCTGAGGAGAGGCTCATCTCTATCTGGGACCAGGAAGGATGCAGAGGAGACTGCAGGCCTGGGTATCTTGTTCCCTTATTCCTTCTTGCATTCACTCAGCAAGCCTTCCCTCTGCCCAGGCCTCGTCACTCCTCACTGAAGCATGCTTGCACAGGTRTGTGTGCACATATACATTAACACATATGCAGACACACTAGCACAAGCATGTGTGTAGGTACATACTCACATTTAAGCATTATACACTAGCACACATGCACACATCAGCACAATGTATG